TTTCGATTTGCAGCACTTGCCACATTCCTCACACGTGAACCCAACGAGTCTCTCCTGTGTACTGGTTGGAACTGGTGCGGAGGCGCCAGATGATTCGTAGTATGCATTGTCGAAAGTAACCAGCACATTGAAACCAAACGGGGTGGTTGGCCCTGTCTGGAGTTGCTGAACTCTTAGCTCACCCAGACAGACATCCAGGCCACCCGGTCGGCACCACGTGGAGGGGGTTCAGCTCGCTCGCTTCCTTCTCTAAGAATTTAGAAAGTATTTTATTAAGCTAGGATTGTTATGTTAGTGAGCTTGCTGTGAATGTTTCAATGGTTTATTTTCATCACGGCACCACGAGGAGGTGGTTCAGCTCGCTCTTCTGCTTCTCTAAGAATTTAGAAAGTATTTTATTAAGCTAGGATTGTTATGTTAGTGAGCTTGCTGTGAATGTTTCAATGGTTTCCTTATTTTCATCATAGTGTTCCCCAATGGTAAAGGAATTTTATTGAGAAGCATGCTGGAAAATAAATGCTTCGCTGCTAATCCTCACAACGCTGCATCATGTATCAACTCTATCAAGCCTTTGAAATGGCCGGACCTTTCCGGAGACGAGTTGTTTTTTTTTACATCCCACCATCCTTTGGGAGACGTGCGGAATTATGAATGAACCATAGGCGGATTCAAATCCATTGGCTCAATATACCGTCTTAGTCTTAAAATCTGAAGATACTTATGCTGTTTGTATTTTCACCAGGTTTTTGCCCGGAAGAACCCATGCAGTTAGAGGAGACATCACACACAAAAACCGTTGAACTTCAAAAGGAGTAAGTAACCATTCAAGAACAGTATGAACCTTCGAGAATGTAGGCTATCGGCGCACAGTGAAAGAACCGGTTGCGTTGTTGAAATGGCCTTATATATAAATGCATTATGGTCACACACCCACTATAGATTATCCATCCTTGTTGCAGTCAGCAATAAATTGGATATGAGTTTGGTTTGGCAGTGCAATACCCATGTATTCTGTAACATGCGCTTGATGTGAATGTTGGGGATGGCTCAGTTAAATCGCGTGATGTTTGCTGGAGTTGGTAAATAGTGGGAGCACAAGTTACCAATTCATCTCCACTTAGAATCAGCGAGTTGGTTTATTTACCTACCCATCAAAATTTATTTGCACTTAGTATTCGCAAATCAGCTTTTGCTTCCGTAGGGAAGACTGCGTGAATGATCGTTTAGAGACCAGACTTACTCGATGGCTTTTCTAACCCGAGGAAAAGACTTAGAATTACGGATTTTCGCTTGAAGATTTTCGTTAGATCAGATTTTAATTTGATTTGTGTGGCTTAGGTCTTGTGGAACTAAGAGTTTCCCGTATTCCTTGTAGCTTCATTGGCAACACATCAAATATCGCTGGTATCAAAACTCCCGGTTTATTCTTTAAAGCTCATACTACTATGTTGGATGGAAAGTGTCGTCATTTCAACATGACGAAATCCTAAAGAGTCTGTTGCCAAAGGATACCGAAATGATCATGATCGTACATTATCCTGGGAGATAAAATTTTGGAATTATCCCCAAGTTCGACTGACCGGTATCGCACAGCCATAGTTCACATTGGATGATGTCAACAAGATGGAAAAAATACACTTAAGTCTGTCGTACATAGCAGCCAATGTGTGGAGCACAAATTTGCAAATTGCGTGAAGTTTGTAAAATTTCGTTGTGCGTTGTATCAACAAAAACCTTCCGGCATAAATTCGAAACAGTTTGACTTAAGACATAAGGAAGCAATTGTCAGTTTTAATTAGGTAGCGAAGTTCAAGTGGTCTAACGCCCACGATTTTGTTCTGTGCCAACTGCCAAATAAAAATTACAGTTAACGGGGGTCGATGAGCGTAAAAAAGGGGAAAACGACGTTTCGAAACCTTGGTATGAAGGACGAGGCATATGTGAAATCTGGTTAGTAAAAGAGCTCATTTGGCCTATTGGTGGCAAGCTCCAGTTAACTAATTCCCTTAATCCTTGTCTGGGTTAATGAAGAAGTAGACAGTGCGGTACCACACCATATATTGCAAGGTATTTTCGGGTCTAGTTTTCTTCTTCTATGCTAAGACTAGTTAGGCTGGCGTCGAAACTTTGGATTCATTCTCATGTTTTCATTTCATCCATGGCAGTCAATCGTTCCGTATCATAAGTGGCAGTACCGCTCACAAGGTTGCGGAAAACTCTTCGACATCGCACGACCGGTTTCGCCCTTCTTGGGACTCATCAGGTAGGCGCAGTCCCCGATTTTCCGTCAACCTCATGTTCTACTTGAACCCAAATGGGACTGTTTTCGACAAACACACTCATTTGCAAATCGATTTGGTTCTCACGAGACACTCAACCGAACCTCTCGTTTGACATTCTACCTGATATCCTATCAGTTATCACCTGAAGGACAAATTTCCACATTTTACCATCAGCTATTTTGTGTACTCATTTTTATGCTTGTGCCGAGCATCATACACCGGTCGTACAGCAGGGCAATTGTTGGACGGAATGCGGGGACACAATCCTATGTCTCTGAGTGGCAGTTGGAAGCAACAGGGCTCAAGTGCGATTACATCCCATTTAGCCGAAACCAGTGATGTCACGGACAAGATTTCACTATCGTATATCGGTTACGTCTGAACCGATCAGGACCAGTACAATCCGGGCTACTGTTGATCGCAAAGATGATTGGAATACGACTGGTGGTTCCACAATTTTGCGTCCAAAAGAAACTTGTGCGACCATTGAATTCAAACTCAAATCCGGTCACACAGGCCTGTCAGACGATGACGTCACTTACCTGATTCCGTGGTCCATTGACCTACCCCTCACCCAAACCCTTGTTTCTTTGATTTATATTTCCCTAAAATGTGCTTACCCCGAAATTTTAACCTTTTTGAGTGAATTCTTTAACCATATAAATTTCTGATGCATTAGCCAAGAGGAACAATCACAGTGAACAAGCTTTGTTTGCTATCTTCATTGTTCTCGTGATTTCCAGAAGTATCTACAGATAATCTGTAAGCTCCATTCGCAGTCTATCAGTTCCTTCGTCACTCACGTACTCAGGTTTCTTAATAAAGACACTGGATGACTACATTTGCACAACAGCTGGTGAATTATGGCATAACTGTGGTCAAAGTTTTCAAAATTGGATGATACAGACTTGAACATCACACTAATTTTCACGAGATCCTGCTTAATGTTGTCCGATTCCACCATATATTCTGCTGCTTCTCTAACCTAGCCTAGCAATCCAGGTTTTCCACCAAAACAATATCAAATGTTAACACCTAAAATTAAGTAGTCAATAAAAATATGCCATTTTGCTTACCTATTCATGGTTATTGAGGTGAATTCTAATCTATATTATCAGATAAGAAAAAGATTGCGTGTAACTCAGCCGTCCTCTGACTATCCCGTGTGTCTCATCAAGTTACAAGCGTGCATTGTCGCGCCCATTCAAGCGAGTTAGATGTGAGATTAAATTCAACTCAGCGAAATCACAGATTGCGTGTGTATGTGTGTTTGGGGGTATGGAGTACGAATGGAGGTGTCGAAGCTTGTCAGTTCATCTATTCTTCTGGACAATGAGCCAAGCCATTGTGACTTGGCCTAACAGGAAATTAGCAGAGCGTGCCCTGAGGTTGAAATGTGAACGAGCGGACAGTGCTGTAGTAAAAGCGAGGGAGAAAAGTTACAATGGGTGGTCTCCGGGAAAATCTGGCCCAAATAGGGCGGATTTTGTACCACCATCACGCTTAATTGATTTGGTCGAACGGGTTGTGATTAATCATCTGTGAAGGGCGCGATGTGCATAAAATATTCGAGGTATAGGTCCGACAGTGGCGACCGCATTTATTGATGGAAGGCAAGGAAGAGCCGAGTAATATATGATGACATCTTGGTCTGCCTGAAAATCCTTTGCTAGAGACATCGGTCACTAAAGCAATTATGCTTATATCTACAGCGTGAAGGCATTATTTAAGCAGCGTAATTAATGCGATCCCGAGGAAACTACCAAAGTTTGTCGTGTAGGATTTGACTTCGGTCGTGTGTTGTTCGCACAGTCCACATTCAAGTAATTTAAGTATCGCCAAAGTAGCAGCGATGTACAGATGCTCTATGTTCGTTTGGAATTTCATGTAGTTGTGGACAGACGCTAAACCGGAACAATCCTGATAGAGGTTGGGCCACCCTCAACCATTCAACCTGGGGTTGTTTACATGCCGGTGGTTAACGAATATTTATATAGGATGTGGTCATTCTTATCATCCTCTTAGGAAGTTCACGTTATGTGGTGTGACGTCTATAGTCTTCCCGACAAAAAGCCCGCATAAGAATGGCTCTACTTCTTGACTTGTTCCCCAGCGCAAGGACTTCAAAATGCAGAAACTCTTGTAAGCACTCTCTCTACGTTTTATTCGGATGCCATAAAGTCCTGAATAGATCTAAACTTGTAAAACTTCTGATGGTCGAATGTAAATGCTACAGTTAGTCCATGGGTTTCCAAACAGGGTCATGTTTAGTATTTACGTACAAGCTGTCCATGTCACAAATTGTACCTAACATCTGAATCTGGCATTCCGTCATGTCCGAGACAATGATACAGGAGTCTGAGCTATCTGTAGAAATCCACAATGAGTGGCGGAATCAAAATATAGTCAACCTGAGTAAAACTATTACTTGTGTGGAGGTACATACCGTGATTTTCCCATTTGCGTTCTTTGGAGGGTGCCAGGTGACATCTACTGTATCGTCCAATAGTGCCACTGCACTAACCATGAGCGGTGCGGAAGAGGGTGCTACAAGAATAGGATAAGAGGATGTCAGTTGATGATCCCATATCCGATGGTGCATACGCACAATAATCTACTTCCAGAAGTATTTGCCTCATTAAAATTCCCACTTTCCCGGTTCCTATAAATGATGCTTTACAAACGTTGAATTACAAGTCTTTAAATATTTGGGTGTGTAGCGAGCCTGACTTGCGGAATAAACTAACAGAAATTTTGCAGAAATTGTAGGATTTGACTTCGGTCGTGTGTTGTTCGCACAGTCCACATTCCAGTAATTTAAGTATCGCCAAAGTAGCAGCGATGTACAGATGCTCTATGTTCGTTTGGAATTTCATGTAGTTGTGGACAGACGCTAAACCGGAACAATCCTGATAGAGGTTGGGCCACCCTCAACCATTCAACCTGGGGTTGTTTACATGCCGGTGGTTAACGAATATTTATATAGGATGTGGTCATTCTTATCATCCTCTTAGGAAGTTCACGTTATGTGGTGTGACGTCTATAGTCTTCCCCGACAAAAAGCCCGCATAAGAATGGCTCTACTTCTTGACTTGTTCCCCAGCGCAAGGACTTCAAAATGCAGAAACTCTTGTAAGCACTCTCTCTACGTTTTATTCGGATGCCATAAAGTCCTGAATAGATCTAAACTTGTAAACCTTCTGATGGTCGAATGTAAATGCTACAGTTAGTCCATGGGTTTCCAAACAGGGTCATGTTTAGTATTTACGTACAAGCTGTCCATGTCACAAATTGTACCTAACATCTGAATCTGGCATTCCGTCATGTCCGAGACAATGATACAGGAGTCTGAGCTATCTGTAGAAATCCACAATGAGTGGCGGAATCAAAATATAGTCAACCTGAGTAAAACTATTACTTGTGTGGAGGTACATACCGTGATTTTCCCATTTGCGTTCTTTGGAGGGTGCCAGGTGACATCTACTGTATCGTCCAATAGTGCCACTGCACTAACCATGAGCGGTGCGGAAGAGGGTGCTACAAGAATAGGATAAGAGGATGTCAGTTGATGATCCCATATCCGATGGTGCATACGCACAATAATCTACTTCCAGAAGTATTTGCCTCATTAAAATTCCCACTTTCCCGGTTCCTATAAATGATGCTTTACAAACGTTGAATTACAAGTCTTTAAATATTTGGGTGTGTAGCGAGCCTGACTTGCGGAATAAACTAACAGAAATTTTGCAGAAATCTTTTCAGACCTCTCAACAACAACAAAATAAGCGAGGGGTTTGTTAGTAGTGACACTTCAACGGATACGGTTTTTGGAAATCCTGAAGTACTTACGAGCTTACACTTTTAGAAATAAAACCAATAACATATAGTTTTGAGTTTACAGTGATACAGGCAGGACTACGTTTTTGAATGGAGGGTTAATCAAGATCTAGAAGATAAAAAATGTATAAAGAAACCTGAATTTCCGGAGAATGATGGCAATATGTGGAGACTTATTAAGTTTCAAGTGGGACTTCACCTTTTTGGTGAAACTACTGTATGCTGAAATGCCGATAAGTATTGTACAGATGGCATATCTTAATTTGGAATCATCAACAGTGTTCACTCCATGAAACTAGGATAGTTTTGAACCCGTGACAAAGGGACAGTTTAAGGTTTAGCCAAGAGCGGCTGAACAACAGTGTATTTAGACTAGGTTGTCTCAAATACCTGAATCACAGGAAGCACCTTACTGGTACTTGAACTGACTGGCTCCTCGAATGGGGACTACTCAAAAGGAAACTTAACTCTCACCTTGTGAGATTACCATTCTGAGTTACTTATGGATGCAGGTTGATTGATCTGGAGAATGCTACAGCAAGTAAAGGATGGTTATGTCTCTTGTGCTATTCATCTTCCAGGAAGTGACCGAGAATTAGAATTGTTGACCTATCCATGAATATGTTTGACTCTTCCTTCGTCAAATGCAACCGAGAATAAGAATCATTACATCGTGTGAAATCAGACAATTAATAGGCTTGTGGATTAATGAGAAAATTTCTGAAAGCGTGTTCCACGATTTAGACGTCAGATCATTACACAGTTGCTGCACATTGTATTCTGGACATAAGGAGGGTAAGTTAACTGGCTTGGATCAGGTTTTTGGTCTTCCTGTTCTACCTTCACACCCTCAGATTGTATCCTACAGACGTTGACGAGTGACGGATGAAATTCACAGCTATTTCAACGATTCCCGTCCTGTCAGTCAGAATGAAAATCCTGTCCCGTACTTGCCTAAACCCGTATACTAAAACACTCAAGCCCGAGGTGTCCCAGTCAACCGCGTTTGCAAGTAGACACGTTCTCTGTGGAATTAGTATATCTAGGCTACACACGCCCGTATTCGGGCACCAGACACGTTCACAACACACTTCCGATTGATGTATCCGTCCTGTTTTAGTTGCATGCAAGACCTGCGGATAGTGTGTATCGCCAGCGTTACACAGGTACACGCATATAAACAAGAGAATAGGGGAAAACGCTACGCAGGTTTCGTTATTAACAGAGAAATTTGGTCTTCCTGACTTGAACCAACCGTTACAACAACTAATGACTTCTGGCCACTCAAAAGCATATAAATATCCTCCAGTTTCTTTATAAGACCCAGATCATTAAAATACAGATAGTGCAGCTGAATCAAAGGTATATAGTGATGTCAGATGTCCTGATATCTCCAAGTAGAATTAATGTCAGTAAGACTTATAACGTCACAGGCAGCGCAACATTTGTGATAATAATTTGTGATTTTTTTCCATTTGAAACCAAATTACGAAACGTCGTGAAAGCAGTCGGCGGTGGAGTTTCACCTGGTTATACCAGCCAAAAGACAGGGAATACGGTTACGGAGTTGGAGAACGCTCTAGAATCTGCCAATCTTCAATATTAGATCACTCTGTTTCCTTTCGGCTGTGACTGGTAGGTCATGTGTCTCCGTTGATAACACATACATGGGGCTAAGTAACCGAACAGTAGTGGTCCCGGCTTCTACTAGAGTCCTTTGAGGAACGGCTCTAAAATGATTTATTTGAAATATCTCCATGATACACCAAGGGCAAAATTACTGCAGTGGGAGCTATCTATTTGAGTTCTCCTCTACTTGGATATAAAACTATCGGCATCGATCAGAGTGTGTGTAAATGTCCATTAAGTTGGAATCTATGACCAATGGCTAAGGCCGGTGGCAATGATGTGAGTCCGACGAATCACCTAACGCTAGTAACAGATTGTGTGGCTGCGTGAAACAACGCCTGTAGAAGGCGTTTTCGAATTAAACTTTCAGCATAAGGCAGACGGAAGCTTGTGTCCTATGGATTTGTATCTTGACTTGTCTACCATAAATTGGCCTAAAAGCTGTTGAAACGTCGGCCTTACTTAGTGTCTTTGCACCCTTTGCTACGCACATACTATCTGTTTAGACACGTCTGCCATGTCGTTCGACAAACGAGGGCAGGCAAAAAAAAATGAAACGGTTCGATTTTTGTCTTCCTACTGTTGCCAGATTATCCTGTAGTTGGTCCGCGCTTCAGCACTCACACACACTTGTACAGTTTAGTTTGAAGATCTCGATACTGCATGTGCCATTCAAAAAAATTCTGGGTGGCCATTCTATAGAAAGTCACTAATTAAAAGGTCCTACCTGTTGGTCATAGCGCTCGCTAATGGGATATTTCTGCTAATTCATACGGGCAGAAAAAAGACTCCGTTTGGCTTTAAGGCAAATATAGATGCGAAGTTATGTATGCCGACATATGCACGTCAGATACAAGCGAACGTGTATCCATTCGCCTATGCTCTCATCAGTAGTGGGTCAGTTGACTTCCCAATTGTAGTTTGGGTGTAACAAGGATCACCCATAAATGTGGCAAAAGAGTGATATTGACACTAGTAACGATGAGTGACAACGCGCACAGGTAAGGCGTCTTCTGAATGAGAAGTGCTATTTCGTTCTGGCATCACTGTCTGATGGGTGCACCGTCCGAATCCACGTTCAGTTATATCATGTTTTGCTCAATAGAATGGAAAGCCCCATTCTCGATCGGTGGTTTTATATAAAGTCAGTGCAAGAATCATCTAGGCTTGCTGAAAAGTTCCTCTTTTGGGAAGAAACTTGTGGCAAACACTTTGGCGTACATTACGATTAAGACCATCACTGGCCAGGACGTGATCAATCATTTTGTTTTTGAGAAGCCATTAGCATGAAATTCTCCAGACTGGCGCTGACGGGGTGAGCTAACCGTTCAGTCAGTGACCACCGAACCCAGGGAATACCCACACACACAGGGAACTCATACATGAGCTTTAGATGTTCTTCCTTCGTAAATAAGAATACCCTTCAATAATGACCTAAATAGAAGGAAGCAATCAATCTCTTACAAATCCAAAATGTTGATTTATCATGATATCTGATTTGTAGTCAGAGGCATCAAAAATTTGGTTATGAATTAAAAAATGTTTTCTCGTCGAAAAGTTGCTCCGATAAACCTGAAGATTTTTTCCGCCTTATAAAGGAATGAAAAACTACAGTGTACTTAATAAAAAGAACCAGTTTCACATATTTCATGACTGGGAATAATACCAATGAACACATGTAAATATATACCCATGATGCAAGTCAGCTTTAGGTGTTCGAGCTTTATGTTCTTTAAGTTTCGTAAAACTGACATTTGCATAGTACTATCAGCTGTGTACACAGCGCAGGTTCTTAATGTTCAAGAGTGACAAACCCCTTTTCATTGCCATAAAAGCTATCTATTATCAACCCCAAATTTTTAATTTGACCTTATACCACGAAAAAACCATCATAATAAATCAGATAGGGCTAAGTTTCAGTCTTGGTGCCATCAACTATAGCATACAACTGAGTACATTTTTAAACTTACTTCCAATAGATTCAGATTTTTCAAAAGGCAACATTTGTTATCTGAGTGAGTCTTTTTTCTACATACACATTTGGAATATGTGGTTGCATGCTAACAGAAAAATTTGTTTCAGACTATGCACGTTGTTGTCTACCGATGACAGAATTAAAGAACGGATAAATATCCTAAACCTCACATTATCCAACTCGGCTGGTCATTCCATGAGGATATACTGGACATGCTTGAAACGGCCCTGTGAAAAACCAGACGATTTCGTTTGTCGAAAATCACCCAGTAATCAGTTTTGGAATATGTAGATACCATTCATGTTTTGGCAGGTAAGCATGCGCACACAATATTACGATTAGAACGCCGACTGGAAAGAAGTATACAATTAGAAATCTGTTCATCAGCAGTGGTTATCAAATAGCATTAAGGTTGTTATAGAAACAGCAAGTGTACATGCTTTGGGCGGTATTTATGGACGACTAAGAGTGACTCCAAACATTGGTACATGCATCTGATGACTTAGACTAGAATGGCGGAAGTTATGCATTCTCCCGGCGTTGTTATAGACATTAGCTATTATGATAGCTCTGAACTATCAAGATCCGCCTACTGCGACATAAGTGCTGATGTACGCGAATGGGTGGATGAAGCTAGGTCTCAAAAAATCACGCCGATGCAAACCAGAGACAAGCATAAACAATAGTGGAAGTTGTGACCAGGTTTCTTGTCACGCCAGCAATAATTTTGTGAGCCGGCCGTTTTTGAATCTATTTGTGTAATTTGAAATGTGTATGGAAACTATCCTGAGATGAGCCGAATTTTATATCACCCACTGATATGTCGATTGACACGCTGGATGTCAAACACACAGAAGTAGCGTTAATGCAATAATCTCCATTTAGAACGACTGCTCCTTAGCAAACACATTCTGGTCGGTCATTCACGTGATCTTCGTTATATATATGTATATATATATATATATATATATATATATATATATATATATATATATATAAGTACGAACAGTTTAAAAAAGCTAACTGCGAGCGAAGTTCACGTAGCTGGTGGAGGCTTAAACCAAGGCCGCCAAACTTTAGATATCAAACGGTATTTACTTGGCTGAACAGTAATGAATCATTCTTGACAGTTCAAGCGGTGTATTCACCCCTGCGGACAATGAAGCAGCCACCTTGCTTCCGTTGAAGAATTTCCTTGAATTCGGAATGTGCTGCGACTACATTTGACGGCGGCTGACTACATAATTAGCATAACACTAGACAAATTACAGAACAATTTCCTCGGCTGGTGCCTTAGCAGTTTGGGTTGTGCGTAACATTCTGTCCATTCAAGCTATTTCCACTGATTTCATTTGACTTCGCTATCTGTAAGGAGCTACGTCGGATAAATGAAAGGTCGTGGTACCATTATATTCAAAACACGCCAAACAAATTTTGCAGTGGCCAATCCGACTGATGCGTGAAAATGTTGTTTGCATGCGCGTTCATCCAATTTGATATCTTGCCCGTGTCACTTTCATCTTTGACTTTATGCAGTCTGCATCACTGATTCAGTAGCAGCATACACGTCACGATGAAAAACAACGTGCACAGATCCACTCTGATTAGTGGGTCTCCGTAACCTGCAGTCACTTCGGTCATCTTGTTCGACCACAGAACAAGCAGAATAATCCTCCGGATTGCTTCTCAGTCCTTTAGATGTCCATTTCTTTTTAGCTTGGATTGTCAAGCCGATGGAAAGCAGCAAGGACATACACTCCTTCTTGCGATAGAGCGCTGATCGAATGAGGGAAAGTACGCCTCAAACAAAGGCTATCGCGGCCAAATTTATAGCCTCTATAAAAAAGGAATCAGAAGAGTTCTGAGAGATCTCAAGGGTTATTGACTGCACGGCATCCTTTTACATGATCGGAACATCAGTTCAAGTGGTCCCAGAGCTGTTTCCTTTCCACCTTTTACGGTTGTTGGCCTTATTGAGCAAATTAATTGTACCTGAATTCGGAAGAAGCGCCCAATCGGCCAGAAATGAACGAATATCATTTTTCTCCGATGTTACCCTCAAATTCCATCTTCACGGCTTGTTTACAATTGTCACAACGCATTACTCATTTCACGGACCAATTGGTCACATTGCGTGCAGACCGTATCTCTCTCAATAGAATTCCCGCACGATCGTGTTGACCTTCAGTTCGTGTTATTGTGTATACAATCACAACCACGTTAGATGACCATGTTTGATTTCCGTCCATTGTTTCGGTTTTGTCGCCAGGTTATTTTTAATGCCTTTGCTTGGGCGTGACTCTTCCAAACCCAAATGCGAACATGGGCGCCAGCACCATTATTCAACTTCCGAGTGATTTGTATCCATTTCAGTATTTCTGATTGATGAATGTTAGTAAACAAAGTCGAAAGCAACCCCTCCTGGACAAAGTTGGAGTACCTTTTCTGTAGAATGTCAATTTACAAAAGTGAAATAAAGACCGGATTGGTTACGTATCACATCGTTAGTCAAGGGTGCGTTCCATCGGGTGAATTTAACTAAGCTGTTCATTCAAAGCACTCCTGACACTTACGTTGAGCACGAAATTTCGGTCATCTGACTAAGAGTTTTTATGGCTGCCACACACACCCTTGAGCTAACTGCGGCTATTATTGTCAATATATATGTGAATATGTGACCCATTTTCTCAACCTCAGTTCTCCAGCGTTCAGAGCAATGCGAAAAACACTAGATGTGCAAGAGGTGTTCATCCAAGGTATATGCTCAAGCTAGGGTCGATTCTACTAAATGTGTCTACGAGATATATCTGCTCGTCAGTTTTTCGTTACTGCACGTTGAACCCGCAGCATTGAGCTGAGTAGCCACCGACTGTGAGAAGAATATTTTGGCCATAAAAACCCTTTATCCGAATCGATATATCTGCAAAATTTACTGAGAACCAAGGCTACTCCAATAACAGAGCACTATTGGCTTGTCCCCAATAAGTTTTCATGATCCTTGTAAGTACAGTCGACAGGAATACCTTGATATCTACAATGCATTCCGCTCTTTAATAACCCATCAAATTAGTGTTCTTGAAAGTAAAGATTCTAATTTAGGAAGAATTCCTTCTTGCTCACTATGGGATGGGCTCAGAACTTGGTCAATAACTAGCAGATTAGTGATTTCAGCACCAATACTTACCATCGGTATTCAGCTCTCAAATTTTAACTCAAATGAGCAGAAATAAGACTGCTATACACGGCGTCCATGTCACCATTACCGTTATTCTCCGAGTGTACGTTTTTGCCGCAATTGGTTTTCCACAAATACAGGCATTTTTCGCCTTAATGAACGAAAATCCGCAATGCATAGCATTTAAAGTTTGCATACAAAAGTCCCTTGTTCCCTCGAATAATTCTGGTGTTTCGCTACTAAATGTTGTTTTCTGCTTCAAAGCCCTTTTAAGTAACTCCTATTTTTTCTATTTATAGTGACGACCATATTGACTCGTCTCGATCAAACTAGTGCAACTAAACAGCAACTTGTTCACCTCTACCCAAGAGAGACCCTTGTAAGCCGAAAGCCACTTCACCTCAGCTCTTACTCAGATGTTTATCCGACCATCCCACACGCGATTTCGCTTGGTATTGTCCTATTCTGCTCGTTCGCAATTGGTGGTTGTCACAACTTGATGGAGCTAAATTCTCATCCGCGGTGATATCGAGTTCACTGTGCTTCCAACATGAATCGCACAATGAATTTCAATGGATTTCCCACTATCAATGCATACTTGGTTAGATTTTATCACCACAAAGCAACAAAACATGAATGTTAGCGCAGAAAATAATATTTCTTCGGAGATACAATAATGTTTGGATGTGGGGGAAATGCTATGGTTTTATAAATCGTACTGGACAACGTAGTAAATCTGAACAGCCGCCTCTGGTTCTCTAACGAAGTCGATCAAATTGTTTACGGATATTTCGTAGAAATCGAATTGAGTCGTATAATATCGCATGAGTTACGTCAGAAAATTTCGTGACAGTTGAAACCAGACCCAAAGTTTAAAAAAAGCTTAGTGTAGTCGGTAGTGCAGTCCTGATGTGGCATTTGTATGATTTGGTTGACCGCCGGGTTTAATATTTTGCTTTTTCATGGCCTGGATTAGTGTTTTCAAACAAATACATTTAAAGTTTGGCCCACCAGTCTTAGCCCAGTCTCACGGTATTACGAAGGAACAAAAAAAGCAACGAAATAAACATGGAACTAGAAGGACAAAAAGTTTCCTAATTTACTTGCGGGTTACTCAGATCCACTTCTAACCAGAGAAGGAATGCTTTGAAATACGTGGCTTTATACTCACCAAATTCAGCAGTTGTGAAGAAGGCCGTGTTGCTTGGATCCGACATACCGTGTGTATGACTCACAGCAACCACCTCAGCCGAGTATTGTGTGTAGGGTTTAAGGTCTACAACCTTGTACTGCAGGGCGCCGTCTGGATGAAACTGTTTGGAGGCAATATCAGTTAGTTGCCTTTTGGCAACAGTGCCGTGAGTTCCATTAGACTCCGTAAGGAACAACGTGTAGGAATCAATTGTTGGCTTTTCTTGTCCTTTGAACGAGGGTTTACGAGAAAAGTCCGGGGGATACCACTGTAAAAATGCATGGAACGCTCCCTCTTCTAAACACTTAAGGTTTAGTGGTGGTGGTGGCACATCTGGAATAAAAAAAAGAAATTAATGAATTTCACTGCGTACTTATTGTCGCCAGTTTCATCAAACATGATCATTTCAGTCTCAAAGCCTACGAAAAGAAGAGACGCCTAAATCTTTTAACCGCCCGACATTTAGAACCTCTGACTGATTATCTTACCTAAGAGAAGTGATAGTTTATATATATATATATCATGATATGAAATCGTGCGGCAAAGGGACGTTTGATTCCGAAATATAACAGGTGACCAAGTTGGATCATACGGCTTATTGGTTAAATGTAGGACACACATGAAGCTCACACAATAACGTTGTATTTTTAGCAATAAGTATTGTGCTGATTTGATGCCAGCTTCACCCGGCAAAGTTGCCAATGTAGAATAGCGCACAACCTAGATATTTCTCATAATTTCGAAACTTCATTTTTAATTTTAGCAACTTGACTCCCACTTAGTCATGTGATCCCGCGCAAATATACCACAGGCCAGGTATCATGCAGCGGTCATTCGAATTGGTATCAGTATCATAGATGTACCTAGTACAACGTACCTGACTTATCTACCAACTTTGGACCTCTGCCCTAGGCTAGCATTAGCTGACCTAATCCCTTGTTTTGAACAGTATTATCATTATAATACTGGGAATTTTAGCGGCCCCTCGGAGAAAGTCTGCTACAGCAGTACAAAAAGACAGTTTATACAGATACAATACTTCAGCTTTAACATTATTCTAGTATTCAGCTGGCATCAACTCTCCAGGAATCCGAAGACTGATATGGTGGTTTGTGATCCTAGATTAGATGCCATTTAAGTTATTTTTCAAATGGTTAATTTTAATCCAGCGACCCAGTTAGGAACGCGCGGTTGTCCCATGACATATGTAAAGCTGATATACTCGGAACCACTGATTTTACTGTAAAACTCTGAAGTAAGTGGTCAATCGTTGCTTTAGGCGATACCTGCAAGAAGGACATTGTATGGTGCTCTGATATTTGGCTGAGCACTCTGTAGCCTTCACCAGACATGAAAAGGCCGCTTTGGTATGAAAGTTCAAGCGCTCCATGGAATTGTATTATCTTGTTTGTGGCCAGGTTCACAGAAAACCTTAGTAAGCAGATACCTCAAATGTATACATGACCACTCACTAGTGCGCAATGTTTAAATGTGTTCCAACGAAAGCTGTTGATACCATCTTGGGTTACGCGTAACATTTCTTAGTTACAACCACCCCGAAAAAGTCAGCTAAAGTGTTTGTTCATATTTTCTTACGTTGATCGGATATTATTCATGAGATGTCCCGAATGGTATTTTAGGAAGTCCTATCGAGCTTTCAGTCAGTGTGCAAGGGAACGAACTTGTATTAAGTAAGACACCTACAGAATACAAACCTCAGACGTATCATGGCCAAGTATTTCCTATGACAGCCTATAAATAATCACGTGAAAGTTCGTAATGAATAAGGCATGACAGTCGTCATGTTGGAGTGGAAATATCACTGAAAAATTCAGCATAAGCGATAAAGTTGTATACCAACAATGTGACAAAACAGAAGGAATGGGTTGTGGCTAGGAACAAGCTATTTTTGAGTGGAAAAGTAGATAGGACAGGATAAAAGTGTCTACAAGTGATAAAATCATTTTCTCTGTATGTTTGTTACTTCATTTTCGTTAGTACACATATTAAAGAGAACGCTGTTTTGTTCGTCGGCAAAGTCAAATACATTCATCAAAATAAAATGCTGAAAACGAGTGAATTTTCAGCAAAGCATAGCACTTTTATAATGCATATGGATACTACTCCATTAAGTTTGTCTCCATTACAAGCCTATTCGAAACTCACAGAAAAGCTATCGATTTTGCTCATGACGTGCTGCAAGATGTTTACAGAAAGATGAGGGCTAAAATCAAACCCGACTGGCGTTTGTTTCTGAAAATCCTATCTGAGAAATGCATTAGCTTAATGACAACACGGATGTCGTCCTGAAAGAGGCCGCAAAACAAGAATAATGTTTCGATGCAGATCGATGCTGATTCCCCCTTGTCAGCTTCAACATGCCGTCACATGTTTCGGTTGCTGCTTGGAGTTTTCTTGTTTTCCGTTTGTTAGACACTTCCGACAAACTTGCATTCTGTGAGCGGAAACTGTTCGGTTACTCGGTATCCAGCGTCCATTGAGAAAAAACCGCATGATTATTTGCAAGCCGTGTGTATGCACACAAAGTTGACCGGTTGTACATTATATCGTCCTTCCAAGGGTTTTATGTAGCAGTGAACGTCGACGATAGGGAAGTCAAAATAGTATTCCATTGTATGGAACCAATCACTTCCAAGGTACTTCCCTTTACTACCTTCAGCAGTCAATTTCGAGCAGAAAACTATCAAAGAAAACAAAAAAGGATCGACCCAGAGCCTAATTTCTGATTATAGGATTCCAATTACTTAAAAATTTCAGAGATTTGGTTCATCTGGTTTTTGGCCCGTTTGCGAGCTTGGCAGATGGGTTGAAGGCGTTTGCTTACCAAGCGGGGTGACATCTTCAGTCCGGGGTTGATTAGGTGATTTGATCCAATATTCAAATTGGCGAATGACCGACTGGTGGTTCAAAGACGATTCATTATTCACCCTACGAGACTGTAGAGGTTGTCTTTTGTTTTCGGTTTGCGCGAAGATATATTCGAAACTGGTGACAATTTAAGCACATTGCACTTAATATTATTATGTAAGATTCAGGACGGTAAACTGGAAGGTTGACAGAAAAAGCACTTCTCAATTCTGCAGCAAAACAAGCGAATACCACAGAGTAATGAGCCCCGGGGATAAATGAAATGGGAAGGAAGAAGGTAGCATACAAAGCTTGTTTTCTGTGATTTTTTCTCTTGGCTAATACATCACAAATTTATATGGTAGCAGAAATCACGTGGAAAATGTTAAGATTGGGCCACATACACTTTAGAGAAATATAAATCAAAGGAAGGGGGGTTGGATGAGGGATAGATCAATGATTCACGGAATCAGGTAAGTGACGTCAATATCAGACAGACTTGTGGGACCGGATGTTTCGTAGGCCAGTTCAAGTTCAGAGGTCGCACAAGTTTCTTTTGGATGCAATGTTGCAGATCCAGCGGTCGGATTCCAATCACCTCTGCGATCGATAGTAGGCTGGATCGTACCAGTCTTGATCGGTTCAGAGATACCCGGTATATGATGGTGAAGGCTTGCTCCTTGTCTGTTTCGGCCAGATGTGATGCAATCGCGCTTGAGCCTGGTTTCTTCCAACTGCCACTCAGAGATACGGGATTGTGTTCTCGCATTCTGTCCGACAAATGCCTTATCGTACGACCAACGCATGATGCTCGGCACGAGCATACAGATGAGTACACACAAAAGCTGGTGGTAGAATGTGGCGATTTGTCCTTCAAGCAGATTTTGATAGTGGGGCTGGAGTTGAAGCTCAGACATAGATGAGCGGTCAAATATGTCGTATCAACGGAGTTTCCAAGCCTTCCGGTCATAAGTTAAGCAACCGAGTTACTTTGAATGGAAGCCTTATGTATACTTGCTTCTTCCTAACAGAATATTGTGTAGGTTCGGGCTTAACGGAGTGCATAGTCTTGATAGTGAACCTTTCAGAATATCCGTTCTGCAGGAATGTGCGTCCCAAGAACTTAAGTTCCTCTTCTAAGCAGTCGGGCGAGCATATTTTCATTGCACTCTCAGTCAGGTATCTAATTAGGTTGCGTTTCTGTTGCAAAGAACGAAGCTATCAAATTGAATATAGTGACCTTTCCACGTTTGCTTTTTGTGGACCTTGCGTTCTATGGTCCCGTCATTTGTATTTTTTACTTTAGTTTACTTTACTTTTAGATGCTTGCACATTTGATCTGCAGTTCCATCTTCCTTGTCTACTCATTCCTCTGTGGTTCCAACACAGTTCCACCTGCTTTGATACATACTATAGATTCTACAGAAATAAGGCCTAGAAATATGAATAGTTTCACTGCTTGGCTACACTATCAGAAATGCACAATTTTAAAATCCCGTCGGTTTCCCAGAATAGCCGCACTCATCAATCCAAAAGAAATTTGCCATCTGTTTTCGTGTGTACAAAATCGCACAGTTTCATGGTTTAGAAAGGAGAGTCTACAGGAAAAGTGCTGGTACCCCAGCATTTGACCAGTCCTACTGAAGGGTTCAAACATCAGTCGGCTGGCTGAGTGAGGATCTGGAAGTTGATCTGTTCTACTATGCACCCAGAGTAGCGTTTTATAATTACGCTCGTAGGCATGCCACATACCGTCTTCGAGAATCCAGCAAACACAGCCATACGTTTAACTGAATAGGTCACCCTTGTTCGTACCCAAACATGCTATCAACTTTCACCAATAAATCGATCAGCGTGGATGACCCATTATTATAATTGTGCTGGATAAATGGATAAAAGACGAATGACGAAAGGAGGTTCTCGGTCTGTCAGCTATAAATCACATGCGTTAGTCAGTGTTGGGAGACATCATATCTAACAAGTTCTGTGGAAGATCCAGTTGTTAGTTGAGCTTGGCAAACATTTTGGCACCAATCGTGAACATTTCATCATTATTTTAATGATGGGCTGGGTTTTATGTTGAGAATTGTTGCGCGCGAAATCATATATGTGCCTCTGAATTGTTTGACCTTCGATTACGATTAGTTGTCGCGACCAGTGATCTATTTATTGGTTCTGTTTGGCTGACGTTCTGAACGTGATTGGTTGATTACTTCGTACCCATAGAAATTTCCCTGCTGATCCTGTAGTCCGACCCGTTTATCTGATGGTCGGATGAATTTACGTATCACGCTACCCACTACACGCGTCCCGTTTCGTCCTTCTTGGGGCTCATCAGGTAGACACAATCCCCGAGTTTCTGTTAAGCTTATATTCTGCTTGAGACCGAATTGCACGAAATTAGCGAAATATACTCATTCGCAAACAAATTTGTTTTTTTTTCGGGACACTCATCTGAAACTCAGCTGAATCTCATTTATGTTTTGTGCAACTGAATATGATGCAGTAGGCAGCATCTGCTGTGTTTGTTTTAGCCGGTCCGGTTCTCTCTCTCCTACTTGCAGGTCTGCACAAGTTAGGTACAGATAAACGTGCCCATTTATTGAGTATGTTGTGGGGCATCAAGTTTCAGCAAATCTCTCTCGTGTTTGGTAGAAGCCACAGACTTTAAATCTTCCATACCTTCAGTCCTCTATCCCTTCCAAACTTTCCCAAGTTTTATGCGACAACAGATATAGGAGAACTTCGAAGAAAAGGGTGCGCAAGCAACAACAATAATAGTCAGAACAGACAACCAAAAGTTGCTTTCCCCTATAGCATGAACGTACCTGAAATCGCGGAAAAAACATGACAACCAAAGGGAAATTCTGAGGCTAGTAAGCGAAAGATTGATTTTGAAGCCAAAAGGCCACAATCAGACAAGTCAACCAAGAAAATTTTGCCTACCAGACAAAGTATATTGAACGAAACGAGCACTAAATCTGACAATCTGGGGGCGGGACGGATCAGCGGACACAAACAGCCAAAAAAAGTCATGATGCATGTGCGAGGAGGGGCGAAATGATCAATATATAGTAAATGTATGTATACCAGACCTACCTATCACATAAATTCGGACCGGATGCTGGACGGTACCAAGACTGTTATTGGCTTCGCATATATAGCGTGCTGGTCCTGTGACGTCAGTCAGAAACAACGTAGCAACTCCTTCGACTGACTCAGTGATTGGATTCTCGCTGTCGGTAAGCCATCTTGTAGAGGGAATGGGATTGCCAGTAGCTCGGCAAGTTAGATTTGCGCCTTGTCCAGGTCTGACACGAACCTGATCGGTTTTGTCAATTATTCTTGGATCAAAGTAGGTGTCTGATAGAGAGAGATGGAGGATAATTTTGCAAGTAGGAATGGACATATGGAGTTTGGGTAGCCGAACTGAAGGTGGTAGTACAATACCTCACTGACTGTTCCAAATGCATGACCAATTGCAATTTACACAACTTCGTTGTCATCAACTTTGGAGCTTTTATACAAAATTATCAACCACATGAGCCAAGAAATCTATGGTAATTTTTAAAAAAATAGTGAGAAAAATTGCTACGTGTAAATGCCACCAGAGAAACTCCCGAATAGAGGTAACATTCCTGGACTACAGTTAAACGGATTTGCCAAAATGCAAGACTCAGTGCGCAGTTCCTTTACAGAAGAACTGTGGGCTCAAGTATTTCTTCATTTTGCTCCAGAATATGGCGCGGCGTAACACATGAATTGGATGATGTCCGTTGTACAAATGGGGTAAATTTTCATTTCTCAAATATTCCATACACTTTCTATAAGTTATTTATACTTTATGGATTCAGGAATGCTGAAGTGAAGATTTGGAAACTTGCAAAGGGTTATAAGCCTGAAGCCGGCACAGTCATAGGATCTACCATGGCCTGCCCGTTGCTTGGGCCTACCCCGAGCAGACATACTGACGCAAACATGGGTGTCATCGCTGGATATAATAAAATGCTTGCTAACAATTGAGTGTATTTTGATAAAAGCACACTTCTACTAGCAAGGCACAATTAAAATATCTCAAATTGATTGCTAACACTTATGAATTACGATCCAGAGTTTCATCGTAGTAAGAGGATTTGCGTACGAATAGTGTCCACAGTGAGAATGCACTTTTATTAAAAAACGTATACAGGAAAATGAACACAGTATTCTCCATAAGAGTGTTCAACACTCAGGTTAAGATCCTTTCAACCAGGTGACATGAAGTTAGCTCTGAAATCAAGACCTCTCGAAGAATCCTGTCCTCCAAACCCAAAAACAGAGACCAGGATGCGAAACTTATGCAACAAAAGTTTATTCATTCATAAGTCTGGTGGGTGCCAAAATAGTGGTTTGAATATAAAATTGTCACTCCAAAATGTATGTGGGACCAATACCATGAGTTGCATTCGCTGAAACGCAAACGCTACAGCATCTCTTTTCTGTTGGGAATGCCCTGTAGATAGGGCACCTAAAGTGGACCATTTATGAATGAAGTACAAATATAGAAGAATGCCAAATTCTCCAGGTCTTCACAGATTACCATCAAGGTTATAACAACTTGGCCAAGCTTTCTTTCTCTGGGTAGACCATCTAACTAGAGCCATCGGAAACGATCTGCTTTAAAATTCCATTCATTTGAAGGAGTACAATTTTTCTACTCCTTATGGGAGTGATTTCAGCGGTTACCTGTGGAATATCGTCCTCCAGAATTAAAATGATAACCTCGTAAATAATTCATAGTGAGGGTCGTAGTATCGAAGTCGTACGGAAAGCATTTCACAACCGTGACTTCGACCTATGGAGGCCGATATAATTGCTTGGTACATTCACGCCGTTCACCTCAGGTTATCGCATAAAGCATTGGATATAGCGTAAAAAGCTGAAGCTTTCACTTTGGACATTCGAAACCAACCACATCATTGTTTCCTTCGAAAAGGCAGTCTTAGCTGGATGCTACTGTTGAATGCTGGTTTTGGGGTGGTGAGTCCTGTCAGCAATGCAGGCAATCATTCCAGCGCCGTAAGAAAGAGTAGAAGGAATTACCATGGCACGGCACACGAAGGAATCATGCAAAAGCACACTGAATGGCAGATGGTTTAAGTGGTCCCGGAAAGAGTTGTTAGATGAAGTAAAACCGTTCCGGCCTTCTGGTCATTACCAGTAGATTATAGAGGCAGATACTCTACATAGGACACGTTCTGACGAAGTAAATTCAAATGGGAGTATATTCCATGATACATCGTTTGATTTACATCACGTGGCACTTCCGATAAAACCAATGCTGGATCAACTTGATAGAATTCGTCGTCCACTCTATTTTTCAATGACCTTAAATTGTCAAGCCTGTTTGCAATAGTGGCACTCCAGGTGAAATGGTAGACGGTGGATAACAAAACTCACAAAGTTCAATGGCAGTGAGGTGGAATTTCGCTTCCTTACCCTATGAGAGTCTGAAACGTGGACTATATTTCAGTTCAACACAAATGACACCGTACGGCAAATCTGAAGCATGATATACAAAGTGAAGTGCCAACGACAGAGGCTGGTCAACTAATGACGCCCAAAGACTGCGGTCCTAAGTGAATGTCAGGATAGAATTTGAAGCGTTGTTTTGTGGCCAAATTAAAACACGATGATTCTGCCTGAGTTTGCATACCTATATGTTCTGTTGGTGTAATTTTCTCCAAAGTCATGTCTTAACTGAGATGTACGACGTCAGTTGGCATCATTCGTTTTCACTTCCCTGGAAGAGGGAAGCATAGTCCCTCGGTCTGCTTGATTACTTGCGATTCTAAATTCTTCTTAGCGTTGTACATAAACACGCGATAATTCGGAACATTCAGTTGTGCCTACCAAAATTCGGATCTAGGCATATAGGTTTTAAGACTACTGCTGCACGCTTGGCTATTAGTACAGTCAATTCACTATACCGCTTGTTGAGCTTCAATGGGATATTCACTAAGATTCCTGGTACTTTGTCACCATACTCCAACTTACTTATTCTACGCTCTCGAAGAGGTAGTTTTTGCATGATTCCAAGCTTGTGCTTCAGCTGATCAAAACTAGAGTAACGCATAAACTGTATAGGCTAGCTAGATTTTTTCTAGATGCTGCGATCCATGCTCAATACGTGTAAGTGAACTGTTCGTAATTGCTATTAGACCGTATAGATTTGATGAACGGAGGTTCATCGCGTTGCCTTCATCTTCTGATTTTCCGTCATCTAACATATGTTAGTCAACCCAGCTCATACTCCTATAAATGCGTTTCACGCGTTATTGTTATTTAGTACTGATGAGCCAATACAAGCTCTCTTACCTGTGTAACGGTGGATACTACTGATGGGGCATGCGAGTACTATGAGGTTTTCTCACAAATCCGCTTCGCGTCTACTGTAAAGTGAGACTCATTACGGAATTTGTAAAATCGCTTTGTAAGATTCGTTTGAGTAATAGCCAATCAGTATCCCAGAAAGTTCGGGAAGACGCGTTCGAGAGGACAATATGCATATGAGAGTTTTGCTTCCCTGTCCAACAGTCTGTAACTGTTCAGTTTGCGATTTCCAATAAAAGACCATCTTGCTTTCATTTGTATTATCCATAGATTCTTTGGACCATATTAACAATGAACTTATAGGAATGCATAAGAACCAATCTGCCACGTTTTATCTGCTGGAAAAATATTTCAAACATAGATACTTCAGGTTTGTTCAGTATTATCGTTTATTGATACTTCCACTGAATCCATCCAATTTTAGCTTGCGGATCAATGGGTTGTAGGTATACTGAGTAAAGCAGGAAGTCAGAGCAAAATGCAGACCTTAGAAAAGTATGTGCGAAAGCTCCTCACTGTTTGTAATAATGGGTAAATCGATTGGTGAGAGGCGACAGTAAAATAGCAGTGTGCAAGAACATAATATATCATCAATTGCAAATGGCACAGAAAACAGGACCTATCTTACGTGATACTAAATTGTTCATCGTTATCCGAAGAGGCTTTAAGAAGTCCCATATTCAGAGAAGCACCGTTTGTACAGCGAGCGTCCGGTAAGTCTATAGAATCCTATTTTATGTAAATACAGCGAAATGTTGAAAACCGCACTTTGAGTTTACCACCACGGCAAACCAAGCAAATTTATCATGAATAACTCCTTTTGCCATAACACCTTCATGTGGCATGTTTTCAGGTCAGCAAATTTTAATTGTGTTTGGAACAGTCTTTCATGAACTAAAAAGCAGTCGTAAGGCTTTTGTTTTATTTATTGTGACACTCCTTTTGAAAACACCGCCCTATTATTGCTCACATATACACAACAATGGTAGAGTGCATTTTCGCCACTCTAGGCTAGTTCTGCTGCTGTGACCCGATTGTACGTGTTTTGGGATATACGAAGAAAACCCTTTTGGAAACTTCTAAAATAAAAAGCGCGCATGCACAAGGCCTGAGCAAAGAGACCTGTGTGAATATGAAATTGAGCCACTGATCTACCAGCTGCCGGATCAGTGCGGTCCATATTGTGCTACCAAACTGATAGAATACCCATCAGGGATGGGCATAGAATTCTGTTCCGAGGCGTAGTTCCCCGTTCACTCCATGTGTATTCGAACTTCCAGCATCAACGATTCTGAAATGTTGCTTCGTCCTATATCTAGAAGTACATCCTGTTTATATATATATATATATATATATCATTATATATATACGCCCACTCGACTTAAGTTCTATCCCGCTTATTTCGCAAATGAATCGGTGTAAGTGAATTTGTAAATGTAAACCGGGTATGATTTTGTAATTGTCAAACTGTGGCCGAAGAATCTTCCTGTGGCTCCTGTGAACTCAATTTTCCCACATGCTACATTATGAGATGACACTCTCCGGTGTAGGTTCTGTAGCAAAGCGAAGAGCCTTCAATTTGCTTGCATGTATGTTATATTTACTTGAAGTCAAAATAGCAAAACACGAAAATATCTGGTCAGATGACCTTAGCCGTTCGCCTTTTCTCGCCGTCATGATGGTCATTCAACTGCTGTAGCTGACACCCTTACCTATATGGCGGATTCGCCCTGCGTCTGACAACATCCCTGAATTGTTATGACAGATCATAAAAAAGAACGTATAGCTCAAGGGAAATTTGTTCAACGGGTGCCACGTTTTTGTCCGTGAGTAATAAGAGTCGTTTATTACCTGGGGGTGGTCAATATAGCAAGATCTCTCCCAATCGACCAGCATCCACCAGTAGCGACCAGATAAGACTTCATTTTCGAAGGAAACAGTGATGCGGTTGATTTCGAGTGTTTAGAGTGAAAGCTTTAGTTACACTTCGCTATGACGTCTATAATGAGAAAATACTTCTCAACGAATCTGAGGTACTGAGGTACAATATGAGTCCACGCTCAGGGAAGGGTTGGGTGATATTCAACGAACTGAGTGTGAGCGGCGATCAAAACACTGGAGGTACGAACCCATACCTGGACCGACTGGAGTAAATCTCCCCCCAAAGAGCCTCTCAAATAGTGTGCAACCGCGGAATGTTTGTTCATGGAATTCTGAGCGGACAATTGTATTTACCAAACATATCAATTCGTGTAGTTTAAAGTAACTGTAGATAAATGAATTGGTAAACGAATCTAGTTGATAATGCTAACGAAATTCATTGTTGTCCAACTGAATAAATAGAAGATAACTTTTGGAATCAAGCCGTTTCTTCGTGAAAGTTGGTTTTGTTAAAGTTAGTTGGAATACAAAAGCAGTTCCACAAGAGGAAAAAACTGGTTCCATCCTACAGGGGGATGCATTGATCACATTTTGACTCTCCTGAAGAGTTTAGAACAGTGGCACTCCATTCAGCGAACACCAGTGGTAGTGGCTCAAAAGTTGGCTTTGGCTCCGCAAATCTTCAGGCAACATGGCATTATCCATAGAAGAAGGTTCTTTATGCATTTTGTTCTGGTTAAAGCGATGTACCCAAACTCTACGTTAGGTTTCCACCTGAGTTTGCTAGATCCAGTCCTATTATCATCAGCTATGCTTTTGCTCACTGATGTCAAGTACGCAGAGGAGATAGCTGCCATTATAATGCAAATGATATGAAATATGCACTGCAGAAAGGCTGGGTAAGACCAGGCGGAATTCTCATGACTGCAGTTGAGTTGATTGAAGCAGCAAACAAAATTTGCTTCCTAGATGGCTGTATATCTGAACAATCTAGCTCGAAACGGTTGTTCTATTTGGATCAGGAACTTCTGTCAAACTGCATCACCCCAGGCGCAGCTGTTGTAACGGTTTGCTTGCCAAAGTTCAAGTTTGAGATGCTGCGATTTTCAGTTGAGTCAAAATCCTGGTTGCTGCCAACTGAGGACGGCAAGTTTCTGACAGATAGCCTCCCAGAAGAATCGTCCAAGACTAGTGTAGAATAATGTCGAGCGATTTTCGAAATTGGTTGGTCGCAGTCCGCAGGCTGTGAAGGCTCGGTTAAATTGCTTTGCTTATGATATCATGTAATGGGTTGACAGCAAGGTATGAGTAGCATTACCAATAAACTCAGCTGTGATTTTCAATGCCTTCTTCCTGGATGCCAGCTTTGAAACAGAACACGCTAGTATTCAGAGAAACTGTCAGATATGGCTGTAGCTGTTCACCCGTTCCATCTTAGATAATCAACGGACGAGACCCTATCGGCCATAACCACTGTAAAATATGCAAGTGGTTCACCATTAAAAAACAAATATGGTGACGATGTTGATGAGGGAATGTCGAAAATATACTTTCACACTAGTTCATGCAGTTTACTTTGGAGCAGCCACATGCAACGTACTACATACCACCTATATCTGACGTTTTTTCCCATCTACGTCATTTCATTGCACATATTCTCATATATGGGTATAGATTTATCGAAAAGTAATTTTCTGGGTCAAACTCGCTTGTTAATTTCGGCGTTAGATTTGGACAGGCATGGGAACATCGGAAACATCTCAAATCTGCTCTAGCCCGTACTCCACCGTTCTTAGGTTTATTCACTTAAGATGTGATTTGAAACAAATTTTTGTGCCGAATTACAAGAATCATCTTTTCAGAGAGTCAGTTGATTCCAAACATTGCAGCGCTGGAAAAATCCTACTCGCGGCAATAATAACATACGGTTTAACATCCAGTCTTAGCATACAGTCTTTAACATGCAGTCTTATATTTAGTCTTTTACAATCTTTAACATACAGTCTTTAACAGTCTTTACGCTTCAGTCTTATATTCAATCTAGCTCAGTTTATTGTGTCAGGCAGGTTGTAGGATGTCACAATGATGTCAGATTTCTCAGTAGTACACCAGATGGAAAGCATGAATGATGAAGACAAAACATGTGCATGGCGTGTAGTGTAAGAGGGGAATAACATCGACAATGAGTTAAATGGCACAAACACAGTAATCAGGAAAATCAAGTGAGCAAACTGCAACTCCAAACAATCATTCTGAGTCTTGTATTTGAACAAGACCCTAGCTTATTCAGGCCGACGGTTGAATGACTTGACTAAACCGGCTCAACGACAGAACACTGGATTTCCCACTCAATAGCCGGTATTCTGTAACAAACGATGTAGCATGATTTGACCCATAAGCACCATGCTTGTTATTGCAGAAAGGAATAAGTGATTTTAGTGGCCTCATCTACTAAAGTAGAAAGAATGAGAACACATTGTCGTCCAAGGTTTTTTAGTTTCATTGCACTCTGAAAGGCAATCAAAGACAGACCTTCAACGCTGCTGCGCCGTTACTCAGCAGTTTGTGTAAGTCGAAATGTCAAAACAGTGAGCTTCACTAATAAGACTAAGTTTCATCCTTGTGCATCTTACATCAGTGTGCAACTCTCAGGTCTCGAAGCCGTTCGCAACAATTTTGATGAAAAAATCCCATTAACCATTGCACGGCTCATGTGCAGTTCTTTCAAGACTTCTAAACACCGTTCTGACAAGGGAATACTAAGTACCAAACAGTGGATCACAATCAATAATCTAATTTACCTTCTTTCGAAAATCACAAAGGGATACTCACTTTTAACTCCTAAGAAAGCCTTAGAGCTGAGAACGGAACCGAGGGCGTTGGTCACCAGACACTCGTAGTGACCTTCATCTGACAAAAGGAGATGTTCAAAACGTAATGATCCGCTACCTGAGTAACAGAATAAAGGAAACGATTGTTATCCAGGGAAAACAGTTTTTAGTTATGACGTAATAAAAGCAAAACACAGTGAAAAATAAAGCTTTACTAGCCCTAGGTTAACTGAGGATGAAACAGTAATCCATTATCTTTCAGGTTGCACAGTAGATGGAGAATCCAAAAATGTGGCGAGTCGAAATTTTTCACAGATTAGCATCATTTATTTTTCAATATGCTTATATTTTCACTGTCGATGAAAACCTTTTGACAACGTAATACCGACTATTTTCCCTGGGATTTAACAAACATAAATGAGAGCGAAATTGCCTTTACAGTTCCTTCTTACTTAGATTACTCATAAGCGAAGTTAAACAACAGATCTCAAAGTAGGATGGTTTTTACTTGGGGCGCGGATGGGACTCAAATGAGCGTTCCGTTTATTGTGTGCTTTATCTTGGCCTTTTTCTTTAGTTGGGGATGAGTGATTTGGCCTCAGTAGGTATCCAACCATGTGTGCGCAAAACAGGGCTGATAGAAATTCCGGGACTACACCAGAATAGTGAGATCGGGAATGATGCAACCGATGGATAGTCTGCGGAGTAGTCTTATCAAACGTCTGAGTATCACCATATCATGTGACTAACTAGATAAGGACAGTGCCTGTGATCAGTAAACTTGTTTGAAGGATAACATACAATGAACATTCATTTCATTATGGTCTTGCAACCACGTTAACTCTATCTTAGTCTACAAAGAACCCTACGTGTGCACACAAATTTATCATTCCTTTCGTTCCACTGTAATGGTCATCACGAAAGAACGGCACCAAATATCCCGGTAGGCTCACGTAGTTGACAGTACATTTTGAAATGTGACCTATTAATTGCATTGTGCTGGATCAAAATCAGTTTCACCTTTTGCGCCCATCAATGGCTTCATTTTTTTCTCTCATTTTGATTTTTATAGAGAACTACTCATTCAAATGATCAGATTTGCTTCGGGCTATCCGGAAAACCTCCCGGAAATATCAAAAATAGCGCCTGCCCCAGTGTTCGTGGAGAACAATTTAACTTTTACCCACCAAAGAATACGCATCCTATGGATTCTGTCAGAGGTGCCATCAAAAAGTAAATGCAAACGGATGTGTCAGACTACACTGCGGGTTATGTTGAAGTGGCACAAAGCATTCTGAGATGCAAAAGCGTGAGGTATATTAACGTCATGGGCTATTGACATATCAGGTTCATGGCTGGAATAGGCTAGTACCAATCAGTTTGGAAATGGATGTTCAGGAAGTGCATACCCGACGAAGATATGCAGTACTGAGGGATGTGATGCGTTGGTCAGCTGCAAGGCACGTGGGAAAATTCTCTATAGATCAGGGTGTTGTTACTGTCCCAAATTCCCAGAGGTGCAAACCATGCTGTGGGTACTGCAAAACGTTGCACAAGGGACTGGATCGGATTGCGAAGTCTGTGTTCAGATTAATTACATAAGTAGTCTCTTCTGTGATTCGGTGGGAATGCCGAGAGATGTCACTGATTGATATAGGATTTT